AAGGGGTTTTTTTTTTTTTTTAAATAATTAGGGAATTAATTTTTTTGGGGAGTTTAAAATTATGGATTAAAATTTAAAAATTTTTTTTTTAAAAATTATTTTTTTGGGAGATAAAAAATTTGAAAAAAAATCGAAAATTTAATTTTTAGGAGGACAATAATTTGGATAAAAAAACGAAAAAATAATTATTTAGGGGATAAAAACCTTATTAAAAACATGATAAACTTCGAAAAAATTATTTAAATTATTATTTTAGGAGATATAAATTTGATAAAATTCAAAAATAATATTTAGGAGATAAAAATCTGTTAAAAGGTGAAAATTATATTTAAAATTATAGTTAGGACTTAGGAGATATAAATTTGATAAAATTAAAAAAATATTATTTATAATAATATTTAGGAGATAAAAATTTGATAAAAATAAAAAATAATATTTATGAGACAAAAATCTGATAAAAATAAAAAATAATATTTAAAATAATATTTAGGGGATACAAATATGATAAAATTCAAAAATAATATTTAAAATAATATTAAGGAGATAAAAATTTGATAAAAATTGAAAAAAGTTTACAAATATGACATTAGGGTTTCTAAGGGTTGCCCTAGCGTTTCTTTCTTTTATATATAAGATTAGGAGAAGGACAAAAAAAAAAGAGAATTTTGTTTAAGCTCTCGTTTGTTTGATTAGATCGTCACGATTAATTATTTTTTTAATTTTTTTATATATTTGTTTAGTTCAATAATTTTTCAAATCGGTCTGCAATTGTACGAGAATTAACACCGTAGAAAATGTTTTAGAAAATTAAATTCGGATCAAAAGTGGAAATCTAACATGTATTCCAGTTATGTTCCAAAAACAGTTGGGGTAACCGTAAATCAAAACTTCGTAATTCGAAATGAAAAGAATTAGTCTGAATCAGAAATATTTGAATCAAAGTGGCATAATTCAATAATTACGTTCTAATTTACACCTCAAGGCTTAATCCACAAACATAACACAGCTAACGAAGTACTAAACAGGTACGCTTAATTGCAGGACTTTTTTTTTGTTTTTTTTTTTTTTTTGTTTGTGTCAATAAATTGTATGACTTGATAAGTTGTTGAGACATATTAGAGTAACTCCAATAGAAGAATTAAATGGATTATCAAACAGATAAACCATATTTTTTATACTCAAAAACTAGAAAGTTCTTCTTCAATGGGTGATACAGAGGTGGCGGAGGCAGAATTGTGTGGGGCCAAGTTTTTCCGAATCGGAACGACGAGGGGAGCTAAACTCACCACTACGCAGTGAAGTGCGATGGATTTTGGCATTTCGAGGTCATTTAGGCCTTCAAAACGGCGTTTTTACTATTTTAGAAAAAAATTAAATAATTCATAATTAATTCTAGAAAACTCGGATTTGAAATCCGCAAGTTGTGAAGTTTCCAATTTTTGGTATTCTACTAGGTTTAGGAGTTTTTTTTTTTTTTTTGCCTTTTTTGGTAATTTTCTCGTTTTCCTAGTTTGATTAGGGTTTTTTGTTTTTTTAGTATAAATAGTTGCTCTAGGTTTTATTTTTAAGCATCTTTAATCAATCAATAAAATTTCTGAATTTTCTCTCAATTATCTGGTGGATTCCTGAATTATCGTGTTATATAAGATTAATTCGTAGAAATTAATTCTTTACTGTACTTCCGTTCTGCGTCAATGGGAGTATCAAAATGCGTAAGTATTATGATCTTCCACAAAAAACAATCAGCTCACGTGCAATTAAAACATGACAGAAGGCAATTACAAATAAACTACCTAAAAACTTCCAATTGATAACTAATTTGATAATTGTTAGAACAAATCTCACGATTTGAGCAGTGATATGCATATATATTAATTGTTGTGTATTTGCCTTGTAATTTACATTATTGATTGTAGCATAGAGTATTGTGGTCAATATCCTTCCTAGAATATGTTCTTGTATGTACCTATATATAAATTTTTGTGATCTCGAAATAAATTCACACAAATTCATTCTTATTATTTTTATCATGGTATCAGAGTCAGCCAAATGAAAAGGTCTTGAGTTTGAATTTCAACGCCACTCATTTCAAATATTTCAAGTGCAGGGTTTCAAATGTAACTCGTCTGCATTTTAGGGGGCGTATTGGACATATTAGCATTAAATAATACATTTTACTAAAAATTTAAACTTTTAGTTGAAATGATCATTTAACATGATATCAAAGTAGATAATGTTAAAATATTATCTTAAATATCAATAAATATTTGATTTGATAATTCAATTTTGATGAAGTATTGGAGTTGTTCTTTTAACCTTTGGGGTTTGAAACAGTTGCAAGTTATTGACTTTAGAATATTAATTAGTTATTTAAGATTTTGGATGAGGAATGAAGCAGGCCTGCACTATAAGAATTCTCAGGTCTTTTTTCTATTATTATTTGTTCATTTAGCTTACAACAATTCCTTCCAAACAAAAATTATGTCATCGTATCAGCTGGTAGCGTAGACTTCTTTGATCCTACTTTCGGTGATATATATCGGGTAGGTCTTCTGCTGCCAGCCTGCCACGTGTGTTTTATATTTTATAGGGTAAATTACACACACCCCCCTGAGGTAAGCTTAAATAACTGTAAGGTCCCTGTGGTATCGATAATTACACTTAGCCCCCTGAAACGTAGTCAGAAACTCTAATGGGACAATGAATTGGATACGTTATTCCGATAGGGTTCTAACGGACTATTGGTTTCAGAAAGTTGGTGAGACAACAAAGAGCTATGGGGTAACATGGGCTCCCCAAACATTCCCGAACATTTCTTAAATCACCCATAGCTCTTTCTTGTCTCCACCACTTTCTGAAATCAATAGTCCGTTAGAACCCTATCGGAATAACGTATCCAATTCATTATCCCATTAGAGTTTCCGACTACGTTTCAGGGGGCTGAGTGTAATTATCGATACCACAGGGACCTTACAGTTATTTAAGCTTACCTCAGGGGGTGTGTGTAATTTACCCTATTTTATAATATATGTCCTTACTAGGATTAATCTGTAGGGAATTATATCTACAAAAAAGGACACTTGACAGTAGAAGACACACCCGATGTTTATCACCGGGTGTAAGGTCGAAGGAGAATTTATTTATTATTATTATTATTATTATTATTATTATTATTATTATTATTATTATTATTATTATTATTATTATTATTATTATTATTATTATTATTATAATTATTATTATTATTATTATTATTATTATTATTATTATTATTATTATTATTATTATTATTATTATTATTATTATTATTATTATTATTATTATTATTATTATTATTATTATTATTATTATTATTATTATTATTATTATTATTATTATTATTATTATTATTATTTATTTATTTATTTATTTGTATTCTTCTTGAGCGACTATGAATTGTGTTTAGACTCTTATAATTGAAGGAGTCCTGGTGTTTGCAACAGCTTCTAAGCTATGTAGCACGAACAAGGGAAAACGACATGTTGTAAAAATGGGGACAAGGGAGTTTGAGAGAAACGTGTAAATATTAAAAATGTTGGGGTATATTTATAAATATACTATTTAAAATTATATAAGTTTTTATTTATTTGTAATTTTTTTTCAAACAAACATATTCAAAATATATTTGACTATCAACTATGAATTTGCAATTTATTATTAAATCATGAAAATAATTAGGGAAGCGACAAAAATATTTGAAATTCTGTTGTTCAAGAATGTACTTTTTAGAAATTACAAAATAGCCCATAAGGTGTCTGGGAAGTGTTCTCGATATCGGACATGAAACATACCCAAAACACGGGAATGTTAAGAAGTTGAACTTTCCGTGCTACATAGCTTTAAAGAAAACAAAAGTTTGTCATTATGTAAAAGTTAATAATAACTAATAAGTGTTTATTTTTAAAAGTTGGGAATACTTGCAAATTCTATGATTAATAAACTTTCAATAACTTATTTAAAGAGAACTTGCTCATGAATATCTTTTATTTATTTATTTATCATTTTTAATTTAGTTTAAAGCAACTTATTTTGAGAGAAGTCGCAAACACTTCAAAAGTGATTTTGTGCCTAAAACAAAATGATAATAACTATTCAAAAACTTTTGCAAACACCAGGCCGTTACTGATTTCAAACGAGTTTTAACTCAGTAACTTCGTACTTCTACATAATTATTAAAAAATCTAAATAATGTAAGTTATTTATAAATTTCATTAAAGTGTTTTTTATATAAAACTAAATTGATTATTTTTTATAATAATATGCAAGTTATTCCAAATTAACTAAAATAACCCAAGACGTATAATATAGAGTATAGACAGTTTTCACGAAGAGTAAAAAGAGTGTTGAGGGCCTGTGGCCTTTGGGTTTTCAAATCAAATGTAGGTCGATTCGATTCAAAATACGTAAATCGTATCCGAAAGAAACGGGTTGAGTCACCACCGGTCGTCGACCATATTATCGGTAACCCAATAATTATTAATTAGTGTATCATTGTTATTTTTATCTTCTTCAATTACTATCCATTGTGCCACAGTTTTTTTTAAGCTCAATTATCCAAGATTGTTCCTGAGAAAGTAGGCGCCCTAGGCGAGTTTTAAGGATTCTTAAAAATGGGCCCTACTTGTACTGTATAACCCCTATTTGCATTGTATAACGTCACATGCATTACTTCATTCTAACGAGCATTATTGGACAAGATTTTTTGATTAGGAGTTGAGATTTTTTTAGCAAATATGACCAAAAATAATGACAAAGCTAAGGTAAATCAAAAGTTTATGAGGTTCAAGGTAGAGCCGCAAAGTTTTTTTGAAAATAGCCATAAAAATATTATTGAACAAGTAAATATATATGTAACTTTTTTTTAGATATAATAAAATAAAATATGGTATTTTCAACTTGCCGTAACCCTTTAAAATTAGAGATAAACAACGTAGATTATTAAAAAAAAAATGCAACGATTGCCGGAAAAAAGATTAAAATTTTGAAATAAATAGAAAGATGATAGAAGAACTCAGTATCTAACTAATTATAATTAATTTAAGACATTTCATTAAATCAAATGCAAGAGTAAGTTCAAAAAATGCCAACAAATACTTAAACCATGTAAAATAATAAAATTATTGAACTGTTTATATATTTTAAATATCATTTAATACTACGGTTATATTTATCTACGGTTAATATTTATAAAGAGAACAAAACATTATTTGGGGCCCCTAATATATCACCTATAGTCAGAACCGACCCCGCAATCAGCTATCGCGTCTTGATTATTTTTTTATTTTCTGCAATCCTAAGATTGATAACTTTGATATTTAGATGATTCTTCAACAAAGGTAAAGTGTGAGGATATCACCATATTGAAAATTGCTGATAAAAAGATAAAAAATCATTAATATATATTGCTTCATGACAACACATAACCAATTCCAAATGTTTGATTCAAGAGATGCTTTACTTTTACAGTCTTCGTTTTTTCCCGCAATATAACACACAGATGGCAATTTATTTTATAATTAATTAGATGGCATATTATGTAGTAAAGATTCCTCCGGCAGGCTCCGATGATCATCGCAATATAACGGCAATCGGAGTCCTAACGGAGTACTTGACGCCGGAATTCCATTTCAGGTAACCTTGAATGTAACCTGCATTGTTGGTGGTCGAGTCCAGTCTGGTGAACGTCACTTGATACTGCAGTATCGGGTTCACCTCGGTGAAGTCGAGGGTAGTGGGCTCGACGACAACACCAATCCCTGGTGGCGGGACAATCTCGACAACGTACGACGAAACAGGCTCGCCGACATTCGTGACGGTCCTTGTGTACGTCTGAGTAATCGGCTGCGAGCGGCCGAAAGTGATGGCAAACGACGGGTAGTTGAGCTGTGCATCTGGTATTCTGGCTTCCACCGAGCAATTCACTCTCCGTTGCAGAATAGTGCCGACCTGTCGGTTCGTGTAGTTCAAGCCGCACAGGTAAGGCAAGTAATCTTCCGGATGGATATCGTACACAAGGCCCGGATCACTGGCTCGAGACGGGTTCACATGGCCCGAGCCGGTGGCGAATATGTTTGCTGGAACGAACCGTTCGTCCTCGATTGGATTTAGGGCTAGATTCACAACATCGGCGGTGGTCATGATGGCAGACTTTATGGACGCTGGCGACCAATCGGGGTGCACACTCTTGATCAGCGCTGCCACGCCGCTCAGGTGAGGGCACGACATGGATGTGCCGGAAATAATGTTGAATGTGGAATTCGTGTTGGTGTTGTTCTCGATCGAGAACGGCCATGCCGCAAGAATGTTTACTCCGGGCCCTAAAATGTCAGGTTTTAGGATCCCCGGGCTAATGTAATTGGGCCCTCGGGACGAAAAGGCAGCGACCACCGGGGCCCGGTCGTCGCCGATTATAGTGCCTTTGAATAGTATTGTTGCCATTGGTGTGATGGTTGAGTTTATGTAAGTCTTAATCTTCAACCCGTCGGCGTAGCCGACGTGTGTTGCTGGAAGAACGTGGGCTTGCGCCGCGGTCGTATTTGCCGAATACTGATGATTCACCAAAATCATGGCGGCTCCACCGGCATTTTTCACTGCTATTCCTTTCGAAAGTCTTGCCACCACGCCGGCGTCGCACACAACTATCATTCCTTGGAGATTGGTTTTGTTCAACGATTCTGCAGTACAAAATCGTATATATGGATCGCTCGTATTGAGCGATCCGGCGTAGACGAGAGGCAACAACGTCGATGGAAAATCCAACGGCTGAAAAGCTGATTCACCATCGAAAGTTTCGTTGTTTCCAAGCAAGGCCGTCGCCCTTATCTTTCTGTCGATAGTACTAGCACCGACCGTTAGGATCCACGGGGCTTCGTTCTCCAATGATAGGTTGAACGGACCACTGTTCCCCGCCGAGCAACTGACCAATATGCCATTCTCCATGGCGCTAAATGCACCTAACGCGATGCTGTCGTCGTGAAAACTAAAAGAAAATCCTCCGAGGGAAAGAGAAAGTATATCCACTCCATCCTCGATAGCAGTATCCATCGCGGCGATTATGTCGCTTTCGAAACAAAATAAGGAGCACACTTTGTATATGGCTAGGTGGGCCATAGGGGCGATGCCGGCGGCAGTGCCGTTGGCATTGCCAAACACGTTGGCGCCTGCCACAAAGCTTCCGGCGGCGGTGCTCGCCGTGTGGGTCCCGTGGCCGTCATCGTCCAACGGGCTATCATCGAAGACGCTGAAGTATCTAGCTCCGATGATCTTGTTATTGCACGTTGTTGGATTGAACTCGCACTTTCCCTTCCACTTGGCGGGAGGGGGCGGCATCCCTTCGTCGCTGAACGAGGGGTGGCTCGGGAAAACCCCCGAGTCCAAGACACCTATGATCACACCTTTACCATAGTTTGAGCCTTCCCAAAAGCCCATGTTTTGGTTCAAGCCCAAGAAGTTTGGGGAATGTGTTGTGTGCTTCTCCAATTTTCTTTCGGGCCTGGCCGATACGAACCCCGGGTTGTTCTCCATGGCTTTCACTTCATCGGCCGATAATCTTGCTGCAAAGCCTTTGAACACCTTGCGGTAAGAGTAGACGAGTCTTCCTCGACCGTTTGAGGTTGGCAAGAATGAGGTGTACCAGCTCTCCAAATCTTTGAATCGAGCGAAAAACCCGAGGTTTACATCGACATGGACTATGTATGTCTCCAAGGAGCTTGAATTAGTTGTATCATCTGCAAATGTGTGTAAGAAGAAATGGAGATTGAGTATGCAAATAAGGGTGAGGAAGGGCTTCAACCCCATTTTTGAGACAAACACCAATGTTTTGTAAGAAGAAATATGGATTGTATTCAATATTATTGATGCCTATATCTTTTGTTTTTTGAACAACTTATATAGAGTTAGTTGTCCCCTTAACAAACTAATTAGCATTCACTTGCTTGATCATCAACGCGTAATTAATCATTCTAAGTTTCCTATTAGTTGCTCTAATGATTCTGATTAAATAAATAAATATAAACACAAAAATAAAGTTACTTGGCCGCCGGTATTATCCAATGACAGAGTCTAATTAATTTATTTAATTTGATAATCTCTCAAATGTGACATATGTAATGAGAAATAGAAATTGATGTGGTCTCATTTCCGAACCCAGTTTTGCAGAGTTGAGAAATGAAATGATAACTTTCTATCAAGGAATACGTCGACCACATTTTGATTTTAATTTTATTTTATTATTACTATATTATTAATATACTATTTATTTATTTTTAAGGGTAAATTAAGAAAACCCCTGAACTTAGGCTAATAACGAAAAACACCTCACCTATTCGTAATTACCAAAAACCCCATGAGGTTTGTTTCCGTCTTACACCAATCCCCTTACATTGTGACTTTTTACGTAGTTTTTTTTTATTCCAGTGAATAGACTTTACACAATTTCAGATATTTTCTTTTATTTCTCACCCATTTAACATAAGGTATAATAGACTGTACACATTTTCTGTTAAAAAACTCAACCAACAGTTATTCAGAAGGGGATTTTGGTTATTACGGATATGTGGGGGTGTTATTCGTTATTTAGCCTAAGTTCATCGGGTTTTTGTAATTTACCCTATTTTTAAACTCCACATAAACTATATTTCCCTTTTTTTATCTTTTCTTTTCTTAACATAATCATGCTGGTGGTGTTGATTTTTTTCTTTATTTTTTTTAATTCGGAAAATAAAATTTATAAGTTTCTCTTATTATTACTATATAATTATTATAAGGGTAAATTATACCTACATCCTTAAAGTATGCTAAAATAACTTGAAGGTCCCTATGATATCGATAATTACAATCAACCCCTCCTCCCCTCCCGAAACAATGTTAGAAACTCTAACGGGATAATACATTAGATACGTTATTCCGATAGAATTCTAACGGACTATTAGTTCCGGGAAGTGGTGGAGACAACATAGAGCTAAGGGTGATTTAAGAAATGTTGGGGGAGCCATGTCACCTCCTAACTCGACGTTGTCTCCACCACTTCCTTAAACTAATAGTCTGTTAGGGTTCTACCGGAATCACGTATCTAATGCATTATCCCATTACAGTTTCTAACGATATTTCAGGGGTGATTGTAGTTACAGATACCATAGGGATATTAAAGTTATTTTAGCATACCTCAAAGGTGCAGGTGTAATTTCCCCTTATTATTATAAAAAAAAAAAAAATTAAATATCCAGAACATACACATTAGACACGGGTTGGGGCAAGGACTAGGCAAGTACATTTGACCATTTCAATATTAACCTTTGGGGTTTGAAATAAGGTGGTTGAAATTTCAAGGTTTTTTGGATAAGGAATGAAACATGCCACGCTTATTATTATTATTTTATTTAGTTTTCAGTTCCTTCCAAAGCATATTCTCATCAGATGATCAGAGTATAAAACTTTCAAATTATAAACCAGATAATGATTTTGTATTTTTCTTAATTCGTCTTGAGTTTCTACGAATTTGTCTTTGGGCTTCTGTAATTGAAGGAGTTATAATCGATTTTTAAAATAAAAATTAAAAATTGAACTCGATTAGTTTCACTTTTCATTATGCAGCGCGAAAACTTCAACTTGTTATTTTTTTCGCATTTTGGACATGTTTCGTTTCGGACAATTGTGGATACTTGTCGGACACGTTATGTGTTATTTTGCAATTTCTAAAAAGCTATAAACATATTTGAACAGTAAAATTTCAAATATTTTTGTTACTTCCCCAATTATTTACACGATTTGATGTCATTTTGCAATTTCTAAAAAGTTATAAACATGTTTGAATAGCAAATTTTCAAATATTTTTGTTGTTTTCCTAATTATTTACGTGATTTAATGTTCAATTGCAAATTAATAGTTGATACTAGAATTTAGAGTTAATTACAAATACCATCTATGTGAAATCTCTAGTTGTCAAATAACCCCCTCAATAGAAAAAAAAATCGATTATACCCCATGTGTAAACAAAGTTCAAGACACTGAAAACCTGAGAGCAAATTGTGTCTCTCACGCACTCCTACTGTGAACTAATTTTCTTAATATTTGGTTGTGACATGTCAAAAATATCCTCAAATCCCTTTTTCCTCGGCTCCTTCGACCCTACACCCAGGGGCCATTTTTTTTTCTAGGACATTTGGTCCAATTGTTTGCAAAAATAGGACAGATTTTGAAATAATTTCAATTTTACAATAAGACGTCGTTTGAAGTTGCGCTTTATAAGAAGCCGCCACTTGTCAGTTTGTTATTGGCCAAAGATGGGCAAGAAGGTGTTGTTGTGTCACGTGTTCTGACCACCACTGTTCCTCTCTCTTTAATTTTCTTTTATTCAATTTGTTGTTATTAATAACTAAAAAAATTAAAAAAAACAATTACTTAATTAATAAATAAACATTTTTCATAACAAGTTTTTATTTTGTTTTCATCAACTAAAAATAATAAAGGGTCCCTTTTTTCTTTTATTATCTTTATTCAATTTGTTGTTTTTACTTTTTAATAACTACAAAAAATTTTTTTTAAAAAAATACTTAATTAATAAACCATTTTCTTTACAAGTTTTTATTTTTTTTCAACAACTAAAATTAATAAAGAAGCATTTTTATTTTGCAAATATGATTTTGTTTAATTGTGTTAATTTTAAAATTAGAATTAAAAAAAATGAAAAAAATTAAAAATTAAAAAATAATTAGTTTTTTTATAAGAAAAATTTAATTGATCAAATAACATAATAATAAACACCCTCATTGATATGCCTAATTGGGCCAACCCAATGGGCCTACAATTTCCTTACATACTCGGTCACGAGCCCAATATCGCAGACCATTATCATCGAGGCCCAATCACTTTCAAGTAAGGTTTGGGCCCGACAATCTCAACTAAGCTATAAATAAATGTTTGAACTCATCACTTAAGGTACGTCCTATTAACTGAGCAATACTATTTTTTTTTTTTTGAGTAATTCAAGTCACTACAAGGGGAAGTAGGGGAGGGGAGACTCGAACCCTAGACCTTTTACCCTATTGGTAAGGCTAGGTACCAACTCTCCTAACAAGGGTTGGTAACTGAGCAATACTATTAAATGTATTCTCTGGACTATTTCTATGATCAGCACGTCTGACTTGAGCGTCGGAGGGGTTTCCGCCGGATCAACCCCCGGCTTAGCTTACGTGTTCTATGATCGCAGGTATCTCAAGGTTATCAAGCTCGTGAGCCAGTGATCCACTATGCTCTTCCAGCTCATCATAATTCAACTCTCTAAGGTAGACACGGCCACGGGCCGGTTCGGACCGGTTCACGGTTCACATTTTCCGGAACCGGAACCGGCTCGTGGCGTGCACGGTTCACCGGGCCGGTTCACGGGCCTATCCGGGCCGGTTCTGGGTCGGCCCGAAAATTTTGAATTTTTTTTTTTTGAAATATTTAATGAATAAGTAAATTAAAAGAAATACTTTTAAATAGATAAAGGAAAAGGAAATAAATGAAAAGTCAATTTAGAAGCACAAGTTTGAAATATTTGATGAATAAGTAAATTATAGGAAAAATTGGGGTGTGAGGGTATTTATAGGAAAAATTGGGGGGTTTGGGGGCAAAAAAAATTCAAAAAAAAGCAAAATTGGGGTGTGAGGGTATTTATAGGAAAAATTGGGGGGAGGGGGGAAAATTCAAAAAAATTCAAAACAAAATAAATAACGGCCGGTTCACCCGGGCCGGTTCACTAGCCGTTATTTGCTTTTTTTTGGAATTTTTTTGAATATGTTTTGTTTTTTTAAAATTTGGGTGAACCGCCGGGCCGGCCCGGCGGTTCACGGTTCACCAAATCTAAGAACCGGGCCAGTCCCGGGTAGGACGGGCCGGTTCACGGTTCCGGGCCGGTTCACACGGTCAACGAGCCGGTTTGGGCCGTCAACGGGCCGGTTCGGGCCGGTTCCGGGCCCAAAACCGGCCCGTGGCCGTGTCTACTCTAAGGTGATCTAACTTTAGCATCATCACTCATGTTTGATTTTTTTTTTCTTTTTGAAACACGGATACTCTTATTATTATGTTTATTTATGATTCATTTCAACTAAAATTTTCTTATAAAAAAAAATCAAATAAACTTTTTATTATTTTTATTTAAAAAAAAAAAAAGAAGCTTCGAATTAATTAAACCTTTTTATTAGTTTTAGCATTTGAAAAATAAAATTAATCAAAATAAAAATTATAAGGAATTTTTTATTTAATTAGGTAATTTTTTAAAATTATTTTTAGTTATAAAAAACAACAATTACAAGGAGAAATATAAAATCTGCAATTAAAGAAAAAAAAAAGGAAAAATATGGCACGCGGTCAACACCCTTGTTTCTTGTCCAACTTTGTAAAAGAAAACCAAGCCACTAACCAGCTGACAAGTGGCAGCTTCTTAAGAAGCGTCACTACAAATTACGCCTAATTGTAGAATTGAAATAGCCTCAAAATCTATCCTATTTGTGCAAATAATTGGGCCAAATGCAGTAGAAAAAAAAATTGCCCCCTACACCCAGTGATAAACACCGGGTGGATCTTCTGCTATCACTTGTCATTTTTTGTATTTTTCTAAAACCCCTACAAGTTAACCTAAGTGGGGGAATATATTATAAAATACAAAAAAACCCCTACAAGTTAACCCAACCAGTGTTTATCACCGGGTATAGGGTCGAAGAATTCTCCCCCCCCCTCCCCCCTCTCATTCTTGATCGTCCCACTCCCCAACATAACCCACCGCTGTCAAAACTGTACCCACCAACGATTAATGCTAGCACCGCACAAAGATGAAGATGGTGTAA